ATACGTAATATCGGATCGGTCCATCTCTAGTCATGATTAGCCAATTTCTTTATAAAATATCTTTTGCATATTTAATAAAGATTTAAAAAAAGGAAACTTATAACCGTCATACCATGGTTATTATAACTAAACTTAAAATGTAACATAAAACTTAAATGGAAACTAAATATTAAAAAATAATAATTTCTGAAAACCAAAATTAAAGTGAAAAATAGACTTTTGAAAAAAAAAAACATGAATGGAAACAATTTTGTGATCTTAGAAAAATATGTAACATAAAGTTAAAATAATGAGGAAATACTGTATCATGGGTTTTAGTATTTGTTCGTTTGGTAAAGATTTAGCTTGTCAGATGAGACACTGGTGGACATGTTATTTGTGGCTCCTGAGTGTCAGCTGTTTTCTTCCTGATTTTCCTAAATGTTGCCTCTGACAAATGCCCTCCATACAATAATAAATAAAGAATAAACAGTGTAAACAGTTACAGTGAATTAACAGAAACAGAACATCCAGGGCAGCAGTGCTTTGTTCTGTTACTCCACTGTGAGCTTTTTGTTGTTGAAGCTCAAATATATGATACTGATGCACAAAGTTGGTTAGATGCTGGATGTAGATTTTTTTTTTAAACAGTGCTTAAATGTGTTTTTCATTAAAATGCATTAAAATTGTATCTCAAAGGCTTATCGTAAGGCGGGACAAAGATGGCAATTTTGAATTTTATTCAGTTCAGTTCAGCTCAGTGTTATTTATATCGTGCCAAATCACCATAATAGTCACCTCAATGCACTTTGTATAGGAAGGTAAAAACCCTACAGTAATACAAGAGAACCCTATTAATCAGACCACCCTCTATGAGGCAACACTTGGCATTAGTGGGAAGGAAAACCTCCCTTTTAACAGGAAGACCGAAGAACCAGCTTCAGGGAGGGGCAGCCAACTGCCAACTGCCCACAACTTGCACTGTCACACTAACATGCTTCTAACTTGATCTTCCGACAAAGGCCAGCTCCCGATGTTGCAGTTTTAAAATAAAGTGGACAGACCTTTTCCCCCCAGTTCTTCCCTGCTCATGCTCCTCCACTGGGCAGCTTTTGTGCAATTCTGGCTCACAAATATTCAAATAAACACACTTCTTGGCTATTGCCTTCATAGCAAAATATTTATTTGAATCTCATCTGTACCTGTCCACTTTGTTCCAGTCAAAGTTGCGTCGCATCACTACAGGTGGAGCTCCAAGACTTGCATCTGGCGGCTGAATTGTGCCAGACAGGCAGGGCGAGGTCAGCACACAGCATAACCCATCTGCAGAATCTGAAAATGCAACAATAGGGGAAGTAAAATACAGCTCCCAGGCAAGACGAGCAAAGAACAAACATAAAGTTGCAAAATTTGCATGAACCACTCAACACTTGACCGCTCTAGCAAACATACAAAGCAAACTTATATATGTGTCAAGAGTATTGCACTACTTCAGCAACTATCACAACCTCTTTTCCTCACTGTGTACACAACAGTGCTTATCAAACATGCAAGTTGTATCTCATTTCCTGTTGTGTTCCAAAAATATTCTTTCAGTGGAGGAAATATATATAGAGGCTGAAACACTGATAACAAATACTTCTATATTAAGAACATGAAACTGTATTTTTGTTCATCTAAGCGCGTGTGGTTTCTGAAGTTCGTTAGTACTTATATATGTGTGTGTGTGTGTGTGTGTGTGTGTGCCCCTACACATGATGAGTTTGTTCACTGTCTGACATGTGAACTAAGGGTCTATGAGAAAGCAACACATTTACATATGTACTCACCAGAATAATGATTGATCATATCTTCAAGGCATTGGAAAGTGAGACGTGGGGAGATGTAGTACCAGCTGTTGTCAAGTCTGAAGATACGATAGTGCTTTACACTCCTGTGCCTCACTGAGAGCGAATACAGACCTGAGGATGTGACACGCATCGCATGCTTTGATGACAGGCTTTCAATAATGACATCAATCTTGAAACAAGACCATATGATTAATAACAATAACATCAATAACTATGGCTTTGAGACAAAGCAGAAGCAACGTGAAGTGCAGTCATGTGGTGTAGTTTCCATCTCCTGTCAAGTTTAGTCATTGGATTTATTTATTTATCACCTTTTACGTGTATTTACAGATATAGTTTGGCATTTTGGGAGATAGGCTGTTTGCTTTCCATTCAGCCTAAAGATGCAACCAGCAGGCATTTGGCTCAGCTTAGCTTAGCAGTCATTGGCCTGCTTCATCTAGACCTGAGTGGCAGCTTGCTGCTTCCTCCTCTTTCAAGCTATGGTTAACTGAGCGGTTAATGGTGTGACTATGCTGATGTCCTGTGTCGGTAGTTAAGTCTCAGAGGTAGTTCACGATTGCTTTTAACTTATTCACAGAAACCAAGCATTGGAATCAAATGAAAGTAGTCGTTTACTTGTTCTTACCTCTCTCCCTGGTACTTTCTCGGACCAGAAAAGAACCCACTCTGTTGCCAGGTAGAAGAAGCAGTTCTTCCGCCTTCTGCCTCTCCACACCTTCAAACAGCCAGCTGATTGAACCAAAAGAAAAATAAAACCCAAATGAGTATTTAATTCCAGATTAAATACTAGTGGGGATAATAATATAAATCACCATATTTATTAAATCAGCACAAACACAGCTGTAATATAGGGCACATCACCAATATGTCACGTTACTAACGTTTGTCATGCCCATTCTATATAAACAACAGATCGTACAGCAGAAGGACCTATTTTTATCAAGTTCAAGCAAACCAACCAGACCAGTGGAACGGAAGATAGTGTCAGTGAGGTTTTACTTACCCATGGTACACTCGTGCTACATGGCTGCCGGGTATGTAGTTCTCCTTCCCTGTTTGGATAGAGCGCACTCTCCACCAATAAGCCTCCCTGACGATGACACAGAAGCAAAGAGGAATTAAAAACTGACCTTTTGCCTAGCCACTTCTCTTAATTACACATTTAGAACACTCCATTACAAACAAAGCTTTCTTTTTGACTTTGGTTTCCTTTTGCTGCACATAATCTCCAAAACTTTTCTCTTTTCTTTTCTTTTCTTTTTTTTTCAATTAGAAATGCAAGCACATGAACTTACTGCGCAACCACTTTGAGCTTTTCTCCCAATCTGTAGATCGGCTCGCTGATTTCAGGAGCAGGATAGTCCTGGAGCACCACCACCACCTCGTCTTCTGTGCCTGCAAAAACAGTAATATTTGCAGCCTTTACTGGCAGCCAAATGTTGCCGTTGTGATTTAGAAATAACTAAAACTGTCCGAAATCAGTTTTTAAGACTAGATTTGTGATTTCTTATGCATGTGTACTCGTGATTTGTGTTTAATTGCCTAGGTTCAATTGCCACATCATCATAGGCATGCATAATGAAACATGCCGAAACAGTAAATTCTGGTATTCAAGATATCAGTGTCTCTTCGGTCAGGGATTATCACAGTGACTGTTGTTGCTGACAAGAGTGCAGAAAGCTCCCAATCTGTAGTTTTTATCAGCTTGCGCTATTTATACACTGAAAGGACATCTTACCCTTCAGAGAGGTTTCAGGGTTTTCGGTGTTGACCTTGTTCTCAGCACTCACACCTCGCATCACATTCCCCATCCTCCAGATGGACTAGACTCCAGCCTGAAGTCAGGACAAAAAGAAAAAAGACAGACAGGAATCACTAGTACATGTCTCTCTGCTGCTGTCCCATTGATCTTGTAGTCTACATACTGACCATTGAGCTGTATCTCAACTGACACATTTGTTGCAAAATGGGGAAGCTGAGGCTAGATGTTATCGAACCTATTTTTCCATTGCAGCACCGAGCTTTGTGTACTAACTAACAGACTGTGAATTTAGATATTGCCACATCATATACCTAAACTTCAAATGATCTTACATAACGCATATTATGATTAATCCATGAAAGCATTTCGACAGATCCTGCCTGTATTTATAAGTCACAGTATGTAGCAAGACAGCTGGCTAGTATGAAGAAGTGACAGGTCCGCTTGAGCAGATGCAGCTCAGCAAAGTATGAACACTTACTTGCAAAATTTGTGGCTCGTTGTTTCCGATGGCATCAAGGCCAGCGAGAGAGATGATGACCCAAACAGGGCATCGCGGCAGCAGCAGAATCTGGAACTAGAACGGCACCATCTTCACAAGAGTTTACAGGAATGACATGTCACCCAGCGGGGTGACAGCTCTGCATCTGACTGCAAACTCACTTCCTGTAATGAAATGAGGAAGAGAGCAGGCAAGAGTGTTGTTGAGAAACACGGTGAAACATGCAAGAAGAGACTTCACAACAGCCTCGCTAGTTAGGGAAACCAAAAGCGCCGCTGGGGTTTTTTGTTTTTTGACATTTTGAATTTATAGGTGGGCTTTTTTTCATAATGTTTTGGTTTCACAAAGTCAGTGCTGATCGCCAATAGTGAGTGTGCTTTTCCCCCAAAATAACGATGACAGTAATAATCTGTTCAAATCATTCAAGCCCCATGGGGAACTTTCAAACTTGGTTAGGTAAAACCAGTAGTATTCAAAATGCTAAAATCATATCAGTGTAGTTCTCTTCTTGAAAACCCCTCAAGGGAAGAATAAGAATACTTTGACAGAATCAGCAAAACTACCCTTATTGTTTGTAGACTGTGGGAATTAAGGTGTTTGTCTCAGACAGGAACTCACATTACCCTGCATGTTGAAAAGCGGCACTGAAGATGTGTTACAATGGTACCAAACATCCCAATGTGACAAACTGGGAACGTGAGGCTGCGGTAATGTATCCTTTTATTTCTGATCCCACAAATGGAACATGTGGGGTACCACAAAAATGCCAAAAAGTGCTTGGCAGGCCCCCGGCACTGCCTTCTAGGAGTTACAGGCAGAGCCCAGTATGTGTCTCCTATGTGCTTCAATTCAACCAACTAACTCTGGACAGCTATTTATAATCTCAGCTAATGTTTAAAAAATGTAGTACAAAATATGGTTATGTAACTGTATTTTTCATATTAAAACCTGGATTCTTCTTCTTCAAAACTACGCTTTAATGAAATCTTTAAAAGACTGAGTTAGTCCTTCCTTTTGGTTTTTGGTGGAAAGGGGGATAAGGTTAGCTCTGAGTGATAAAATTCCTAAGAGGAAGTACACAGAGTCATGCATCACATCATGTACCAACTGAACTGCGACTAAACCATGTTTTACACAGAGCAAGCAGTTCTGTTCTGCGTAGCAGCAGCTACTGTGGCTTGGTGGCTACCATGAGACTCCAGGACTCTAACAGCTGTGGTTGCCAGGAAGGAAGTCTCCACCAGCTTAGAATGAAAATAAATACCAGGTAGTTTGTGTGCTGACCAAATTTACTTGTGTCTTTAGAATTTTTAGCACTTCTCTGTAGGTTTTTTTTATTTTTTAGCTTTCACAGGACAGTTATCTGTTATGCCACCTCTGTCCTTTTCAGGCATTAACAGTCATATGTGGATGACTAAATAGAGAAGAAGGTTTAGCAGTGTGACATGCATCACATTTCACACTAAGCTAACTATAGCTGTACTATTGCAGTGTTACCCTGTGTAAACGTGGCAGAGCGTAAAGTAGTGTAAAGAAATGCTGAAAAAGTGATACTGATATAAAATGTTGGTTTAAAAACAATTTGTATGAATGAAGCTGAAAAAGATGTAAGTAGTAAAAGATGTAAGTAGTATTAGAGCACACAAAGGTAATCAATAATTCTGTAAATCCTGGAACATTTTCTTTTTTCTTTCATTACACAGACTTTCTACTTCTTCAGGTCCTGGTTGCTGTCTTTTGCAGTGCCAGGGCTATGTGTGTTTTTGAGTGAATCATACATTCATCAGACATTACACACATGAACCAGCGGGGCTGTCCACGTTAGCCTCACTTCAATGAGCCTCTTTGTTACTTAAAGATCAGATATTTATTTCCCCTCTTATTTAAGGCAATTCATTCTCCATCACATGTCATCCTTTTGAGATCTTTCTAGACTAAGTATTTGTTTACTTGGTCATTTAGACTAACAGTGTGTGGGCTAGTGCCGTTATTTAAAAACATAGGAAATGAAATTATAAGTGGGCATTACACCACCAAACGCTGTTATTGTTTCCATTACTTGTAAAACAATGACCTGAAACCCAGTCCTGTTTTTACTGAGATCTGCGTTCTATGATCTCTTATACATTGTACTTTATTATTTATCCATACATCCAACCATTTATCTTCTCCTGCTTACCCAGTTACCAGTGGAGGAAATATACATAGATGGTGAAACACTTTATATGTATTGCAGGTGCTGCAGTTTAAGCAGAGAAGTCCAGGTTTTCCCCTCCATGGCGACTTCTTTCATCCTACTCAGGAGCACATAAAGGTCAGTTAAAATTCAAAGACAACTGCCTTGGTTCAGTTGGCTTGGGAAAAAATTTCCTTTATTATACATTTCTTAAATAAAAAGACCTATTTCAAGATGTTGTCTGTGAAGTCATAAATATATCCTGTAGATCATTCATCGGATAATCCATCGTTTTACATTTATGTCTGTGAAGGTTCCCAGTCATCCAGGTCATCGTAGTCTAAGGAGCTTGGAAAGAAAAGCGTCTGGACTTCTTTAAGTTGCTTGAAGACATTTCACCTCTCATCCGAGAAGCTTCTTCAGCTCTAGGGATTCCTTTTCATACTCCCACACCAGGTGAAGGGTGTTCCTCCCAAAATGTACGGCAATATGTCTGTGAAGGTTCTCAGTCATCCAGGTCATCGTAGCCTAGAACTTAAGAAGCTTCTCGGATGAGAGGTGAAATGTCTTCAAGCAACTTAAAGAAGTCCAGACGTTTTACATTTATCTAATTCAGAGTCACGGTGGAGGGGGATGGAACCTATCCCAGCTGTCAAGGGGCAAGAAGAAGGGTACATCCAGGACAGGTCACTGGTCTGATAGCACTCACACTTAGTGTCAGTTTAAAATCACTAATTAGTCTAAACCCACTAACTGCATGACTTTAGGAGGAACCCAGAGAACCCACACAGACACAAGAAGAACATATAAACTTCACACAGAAAGACCCTGGCCAGATGTTGGAGTCGAACCCTCCCTTCACCCGCCTGCTGTGAGGAAACAGTACTAACCACTGTGTAACCATTCTACACAGCTGTAAAGGCATATTTCCTAAAATATGCATATCAGCCCATTAGTACCCTTAGATCTGGGTCGTATAAAAACAAAAACAAAAACATGTCTTTATTCAAAAGCTGCATACAGCAACTGCTGTATGTAGAGGTGTCACACTGGCTGTATTATTATCTTTTGCTGCCAGTCAGTTTCCCATCTTTGAAAAAAGTAAAACAGTTTTCAAGTGATTGATGCATCAGTGCTGGTGTATAACGCGTGTTGGGGAAGTTGTGAGGTTTCGCTTTGAAGATGGTAGATGATTTGTAAGCACTGTTTTTATGGGGGTTTGGGGAGAGAGTTTTTTTTTTCTCCGACTCTCATAAAGACAAAAGCTGTCTGTCTGTGGCTGACGCTGGCCTCTGCTGCCAGAGGCTACTGTGCTGCAGTCTGGATGTGTTTGAACATTTCAAGGAGAATTGACCGCCACGCCCTCTTTCTAAAATTACTAAATTACTAGCTGTGAGGAATTCCCATCATATTTTTTTTCCCTCTAAATCAAGACACACTCGGATGCCTTGAACCTCTTAAAGCAAGATGTGAGCGCTGTTGTAATGAATCGCTCCGCAGTTCCTCTTTTTCCTAAAAAACAATACACATTCCTCTTGTTTGGACAGCGAGACTTGGTCTTTATGTGGTCGCTGTGTTCTCCCACAGTAATAAGCAGTATCTAAATACAGAAGCAAGATTGACCCCACTGGACTCTAAACCACAGAGCTGACAGGAACAGGCGTGAACTGCTTACATTTGCTTTTGAATATATCTGAACATTTTTAATTTTTTTTGAGAACAGTTTTCATCCACAGGCTTTATATGTTTGTAGCACTTTTACCTTTTAAAAAGCAAAATCCAAAATATGCGTGCAAAAAAAGCTAAAATCTTTCAGCAGTTAACCTGTTATTATAAATATAATGTAGTCACTGTATGTGGGTCATTCAGGCATCTGGAGCATCTTATCCACTAAACCGTCTGCGGGAGTAATCGTCCCTCCCTGCTTCTCCCATCTATTAATGCATTCCTCTGAACTTCCAATAATATTCCTTTGAATTTTGGCAGCAGTGTTATTTCTATTTGCTAATTTAACAAATCAAAATAATCGTATTGACCAAGAGTTTTCCCCAAAGTCTGTTTCAGCAGAGCCATTTTGGGGATTTTAATGGCAACATAATTGGACAAAATTGCATGCAGAAATGTGAGTCTGTTTTTGCAAACCACCATATCATTATCATGGACTTTGTGACGAAAGAGGGCACAGAACTGAAAAGTCGCCCGCTGTATAATCTCTCCTGGCTGCCAGTGAAGCAGAAACAGACTTCCACAGAGAATTAACAACAACAACGTTTTAGACATGAATGCCTCGCCGGTCCTTAAACATTAAGTCCAGTCAGCTACAATAAATGAAGCCTGACATGACGCCATAGGAAAGTATTACTCATGACAATTACATCACTGACATTACTATGAACTGTGACCACTATAAAGACAAAACGCTACTGAGAAATGTGGATGGCACTGTGTTAAGGGTATGACCTTAGGAGAACTGTGGCTACCTTTTTACCTTTTGTCAAAATAACTGTATTATCTGAACTCAAATACTAAAACCAGTTTTACTGCAGGGTCAGCAAAGGCTGTTTTATTGGGGCTGGTTTCACATGCCTGTGTGCGCACACTATGTCTGTCTGTACAATGTATGCATGTGCATGCAAACCTGCTTGCCATCCAGTTTCCATGTCAGCACTGCTTATATCTAGTGATAAAAGCATGCAGCTTGTGATGGAGTGTGATAGCACGGTTGATATCCTGTTTAATTTTACATTATCAGCAACTGTTTGTTGATTTGTGAAACTGCATTTTCACTTATTTCTCATAGGGTGCCAGTTACAATTTTCCTTTCATTTTGTTATATGTGCCGTATATATACAGTAAATACTTTGTGCATAGTTAAATGTTTATATAGTAAATGTGGTTAAAGTGTCAAATAATGAAGTCAGTATATTTAAAATCATCCAAAAGCTTCTT